GCCCCTCACCACCACCCGCCACCCCATTCTTCCACAGGACTCCAAGGTCTACAAGCACAACACCAGCACGTTGTAAATTCAGCACCCCCACCTCCCCCTCCGCCGCCGCCTTCCAGTGTTCTGGCTTCGGGGCATCATACTGCATCAGGTCAGGCCTTACACCACCCACCTCATCAAGGACCGCCCCTTTTTCCTTCGAGTGCTCACCCAGCTGTACCACCGTATCCCTCACAAGCTGCACATCATGCCACTTTGGGACCGGGACCCCAGCACCAGCCTTCTGGAACAGGGCCACACTGTCCATTACCTGTCGCAGGTCCTCATCTCCAGCCCCAAGGACCAAACAGTATTCCAACACCTACTGCTTCAGGGTTCTGTCCTCATCCTGGCTCTGTGACCCTGCCACACGGGGTCCAAGGACCTCAGCAGGCATCTCCAGTGCCTGGACAGATTCCAATCCACAGAGCACAGGTGCCACCAACATTTCAGAACAATTATCATGGTTCAGGGTGGCATTAAAATGGACTCCAAAAACATTTTTTTAAATGTTCTGTAAGATAACCTGTATATTTCATATGTACCTATTAAGGTACTTTTTAAAGCTTGTACATGAAACTTTGTATAAAAAAAAACAAACAAACACCAGTGCTCTTTCATTGTATTTTTTCCCATTTTTGCTTTTTAAAATTCCTTTAAAAATGTGCTGTTAAGCCAGTATTAGATATCCTTATTTTGTAAGTGAACATTCCAGCTGTTTTTCTGGCAGTAGATTTGATGCTACATGATCTTTAAATTTTATTGTTGCAGTTAAATTCATTTAGTGAATGTTTTCTACATTATTTTATACATATGCATTAAGTACACTGCTAAGCAATGGCACTATGAGGATTTTCTTTTTTTTTTTCTGTCAGCAATTCTGTGAGTGCATATTAGGTATAAAAATGCAATACAGATTTTTATAGTTTGGTGTGGACATGGCTCATTTTGTTTTATCGGTTATTTGCAAGCAACATGTAATTTAATGTATAGATGATTTCTAATGTCTCCTGGCAAACTGTAAATATTGTATTTCTTTTGCGTATATAATTGCTTACAGCTTTTATTTGATACATAGCATTGTACATACAAGCCTTTTGCAAAACTGTGTGATCTTTGTGAAAGTAGTACAGTATATGACCTTTAATTTCTTTTTTATTTTAAATATACTGTCACATTGAAGCACTGGTTGGGCATTTTAATTCATGTTAATAAATCACAATTATGTCAGTTTTACCAAATTGTCCTGTACAACTTCTAAGATTGGGGTCGACATAAGGATTTCTACAAAAGTTATAGTTTCAAGATATAATTTGTAAAGAGTCTTCCGTTTTCTTTAGTGACCACTACCTCAACTGGATGGTAGCTAGCAACTGGAGGCAGTTGTTCCTGACATGGTCCCTACCTGCCATTTGTGCAAGAGCCACAGGAAGCGACTTCAGCAGTCATGCTCTGGAGACTGACTCAGTATTTGACATCATATGGAATGAAACCAGGACGCTAATGCATTAGACACACGGAAGTTATTGATTACAATTTATAAAAACTGTTTAAAAATATGGGTAGTTTGCCTAAAACACAGGAATCTCTAATTTGTACATTTTTGGAACATTATTGAAATGTCCTATTTAATCAAAATAATTTGAAAAGCCTAATGTTTAATATCTAGCTATAATTTTTTTGAATCATAGAAAATATCTTTATATTTGTTTTGGATGAGCAAAAACAAAAGGAAAAAGACGTTCCAGGTCTCTCAAGTGAAATGAAAACGGCCTGTCAAGTGAACATTTACTGTTGAAATAGAAAATGCTAGTTATAATCTTGGGAAAACTAAGAACTCCTAGCCTTTGTCTTCTACCTCTCAGGAGGGTTGAGTAAGTGTATCCAGTAGTCATGGCACTGTTTATCAGCACGTAAATTTTCATCATTCAATTATTTTGCCATAATTTGGCGCAGTATACAAGTTGTGTGCATTGGAGAAAAAAGCAAACAGACTTAAAAATAAATGAGGTTTAGTAGTAACTTAAGTCATGTTTTATACTCAATTTCCATTTTCTTTTGAAAAGGGGGGCTTAATCCTAACCAGCTGCAAGTTTTAGAAGAACACAGGTCAACTTTGCCATCCTTGACTCGTCAAACAAAATGGTATTTACTAAAGAAATACTTGTCTGAGAAGAAATGGCTTTACAACATCCATCCCTGATAGTTTCAAACACAGAATAAAGTTAACTAGCATGTGAAATACAAATATTCATCTCTTGAAAAGGACTATCCTGCTACACATTTTTAACTCTTCATTGATTTTAAATTCACCCACTACACAGATATGTATACAGTTTTTGAGTAAACTGCAGAATCTTATATAATTATTTGACTCTTTGATGAAGTATATATACTCTCAAATACTGCTTTCTACCAAAATTTAAAGTTATTCAAAAAGGGGAGAAAAAAAGTGGAATTTTAAGACATACTCTGAACTACAGATAAAAACTGAAGGAAAGTTTCCTTACTTTATCCTGTTAACTAGTTTATATTAACTAGTTAACTAGTCCAGGTACAGGAAGAAGCAAAGTTAGTAAATCAGTTTTCATCTAAAGCTTCTGCCTTTTTGAGCACTTGATATCCACTTTTTCTGTGCCTTTGGGTGGTTCTGTCTGCCAAGTCAGACAGCCAGCTTCTCAATCTGCTATAATTATATATGCAGGCAACTCACTGCTTGTCATTTTCCATGAAGACGTCACATGAACTAAAGAAAGGAAAACATAGGACATTCAACTAAAGTCACTTAGCTGGTTATAATGTTTAACATAACCAACGGTTCTTCACTTAGCTTATATGCATTCTTTATCAAGCCACCAAGAGTCTGCTAAAAATCACATTATGTCCAACACAAATGTATATATTCCTTCTTGAACAACTGTTTCTGCATTGCAAACTGGTTAGGCGTTTTTATCGTAAGGGACACAGCCTTAAAACTTCATAATTAATCTGGTTTATTTTCCAACATGAGCTAAAACTGCATTAGACAAACTTCATTCAGTTGCACTACCACCCTGGTAAAAATTCTTTTACACGTAGGAAGGATGTAAATATACTCCATGGTTCTTGTAAGAATAGAAATCATGAATAGTATCACCAGTCTACAGCCACCATCTATCACAGAATCTACAGCCTTGTTAAAATAACTTAGCATGCACATTTCGTAATGAAATGAATGAATGGTACATTCTACCTTACAGTGATATGTGATATAATGCTAATTCCTAAGAGAATTATGTCTTCTTCCCTCGCAGTGAATGCTGTTAAAAAATTTTTTTTCTTTTGATGCTCAAACAAAATGCAATCAGTATGTTTTTTATGAAACATGGATGAAAAGGGATTGCTGAAATTCCAGATAATGAATCTATACTGTGGTGTCTCTCCTAAATCCCTTCTGCCCTTAAAAAGCAATAAATGTTTTCCTAATAATAATCCTTAGTGCATGTTCTGCAACTACATATGCTGCAACAGGAATGTTGGTTTTTTTCTTTAGTTTTGGTGACACTACACTGGTAGCCAATGTTCATTGATTCTATCATTTCAAATACAGGGCAATGACCAAGGCAATGTCTGGGGGAAAAAAAAAACCGAAACACTTTAATTTTTAAGACAACTGCAAGCACCTCAAACAATGGATTATTGTTACAACACTTGTTAGCTTTTCACAATCTAGTTATTGCAAAGGCATATGGATAAATGTTAATGGACAAAGTCAAATGGAGGCACCTTGATGTAAAATTTAAAATAAAAAGACATTCAATCCACTGACTTCTAAAAGAGGCTAAATATACCTCTATATATTACATTCTAAAATCGTATTGCCTACTGTGGTTTGTGTCCTGGATTCTACAATTAATTTTAAGGAAATGCATAAACAAAACTGTGCAACCTGCAAAGGGAAAATCATTTTCTCAACTTCATTTCATGGAAAGACAATGCAAAAGCTAGTAAAGTTTGTTGTAGCCACGCGTAAAGCTGCCTATGGAATGAATGTGATCACTGTTACCTTTGAGCTGTGAGGAATATTCTACCCACTGCACTGCAAAATGTATCTACCATACCTTGTGTTTTAGACAAACACGATCGTGCTTTCCCAAAAATATATGGTTTTTGTTTTTTTGGTTTTTTTCATTCCACACGCTGAACATGTTTCTTTTTTCCAATTTAATCTATGTAGAGTTTAACTTACAGCGCTCAGAGGAGGCAACACCATGTGGTACCCAGCCATCACATTTTTAAAGGGAAATCGCTCTTTTTTTCTTTAAAAGTACTTTTAAAAATATGCAAAAATACAAATGGGACTATTAAATTACAATGCAAATTTTAGAATGAGAAGCATGTCTTTTCTTCCTGTAAAGTGCCATATAGGGAATGACATTTGTAACCCAGAGCCACTTTGTTTAAAATCCAATATGAAAGGACTGTTATGGAATGAAAAGTTTGCATAACTCCTTGGAGCAGTTAAAGTCTGCTACATGCAATACAGGCTACAAAGCACTCAAGACTTGGTAGCTTTTCTGAAATTTGAGTCCCCATCCCATATTTAATGGAAATCAACATTTACAGGGTGCATTTACATACACTATAATACAGGAATGATGTCCCTTTGCCAGAAGATAAAATTGTACATTTCCTTGCTATTTCTTGGTTCCAACTTGATAATTTCTTAAGATTGTAAATTATATAGTACTGAGCTAAAATATTTCTTCATAAATAGTTACAAAACCTGCCAAAACACAAAGGGGAAAGTATTTTTTGTTAAAAAAAAATGACATTTGAGTGTCACACAACACAAGAAACAATGCTTAGAGACATGTTATTGTTTCCAGAAGAAAATGGTCAGTAAACTACTTAGCTGAAGACAAAAGACTACCCTTCCCCAGGATCACAGTGCACAAAAAGAATGTCAAACAACAGTACCTCAAAGCAAAATAAAGGTCTGAGGATGAAGCCAGCTCACTTGTAATCCTGTTAAAGAATGAAAGTCACCGTTTAGGTCCAAGGTACTGGGAACATTTGCTAGCTCAGAATGCTATACTGGTAGAATCTGCTAAGAATTCAACCAAGGATGCCGAAGGCATTCGCCAGCTGAGGCTCGTTTTTCTGGAACCATCTCTAACATCGGGATCAGGAAATCTGTAAATTGTGCAGCATCTTCATGGGGCCAGCCATACTTTTCCACAAGAACATCAAAGAGGCTCCAGGGCTTCAGCTTGGTGATGTGCCGTAGCTCTCCTAGAAGGAAAAACAGGCCCAGGTCAAGAAAGCGCCAAACTGGCATTTCCCATGACGGGCCCAGCCAGAATCTTTCCAACGAAGCAGACAACCTACCTGCTCAATACTTTATGGCAACCACAAAGGCAGCCAGCTTCCCCCTATGCAGTAATCGTTAAATGTACGTATAACCCTGGCATGTTTCAAGTAAACCTGTCCCATGTCAACAGGGGCTCATGGAGAGTTCACATCCTTTCTGAGTTTATTTAAGTAAGTAGGGTATGCTGAGTATGTCCAGGATGTTTTCATCTCCAAAGGCTGGAAGACAGCCACTCTCATTTCAGCCTGGGGCTCTGCTGCATTTTGCCAACTTGAGGGCAGCCTGAATTAAACACCATTCATGCCTACATGTTTCCTAAAAGATCTAAGATTCCAGGACATTAATCTATAAACCTTAAAGATACAATCTGCAAATGTGCTGGCTACAGCATGGAAAGTATGGGGGGTATAGGCAGTTTTGACTGACAAAACATAATGATTAACAAGCTAATAAATGGTTTAAGGGCTGTAATGGCCCTTTTCATAACAGGAAAAAAAATTATTTTTAAGTCAAACTGCCAAGAGGCCAGGGTAACTTTCATTATGAATAACTCATTTTCTCTGCCTGTTTGAAACATTTACAGGACACCCCACTCCTAACCACAGAGAGGCCTCCTTGGGGGTCCCTCAGCAGACCCGAGCACTGCCAGGTCTCAGCGCAGAAGGAAGAGGCCTTCAAGCATCTGAGCAGCACACCTCACGCCAGAGCTGACTGCTCACCCCTTCCCTCTGCTATAATTTAACAAGGTAAACTTTTTTCATAGTATGCATCATAGCTAATCTATGCTGTACTCACAACAGGTTTCTCAGGAAGTCTGTTCTGTTTCACTCATGTGTTCAGGTCAATTTAGAAACTCAGCTGGGCAGGGTGGCTCATGCCTGCAGTCCCAACATTTTGGGAGGCTGAGGCAGGAGGACTGCTTGAGTCCAGGAGTTTGAGACTAGCCTGGCATCATAGTGAGACTCTATCTCCAAAAAACAAAACAAAAGCATTTTTTTTTTTAACTAACCAGGTGTGGTGGCACATGCCTATGGTCTCAGCTACTCATGTGGCTGAGGCAAGAAGATCACTTGAGCCCAGGAGGTCAAGGGTGCAGTGAGCTATGATCATGCCACTGCACTCCAGCACACACAACAGAGCAGGAGCCTGTCTCTACAAAAAAACTGAAAAATAAAAACATTCCTCCCCCTTTAAAACCATAATGAAAATAAAAGAACATTACAGAAAATGACAAAAACAAAAGGAGAGAAATAACCTAGACTCCTGCTCCACAGTGGTTCTTCCTTTCTGCCTATGCCCTTCCAACAGGCGTCCATTCTTAAAGCCTCATATGTCTGCAGAGTTGCCATCATGCTGTGCACAGAATCTTTAAGACGGTTTCGGTTAAAGGGGCCGGGGTGTAAAATAAGCTTCCGGCCTGAGCAATCACTGAGGGTTTATTCCTCTAACCCAGAAACTCCAGTTCTAGGAAGCCAGCCTAAGGAGATAAACCCTGGTACCACTACCCCACCTTACCACCAAAATATGCCAGTGCAAAATTATATACACTTGCAAAATTACAAATGGCCACTCATAAAGGGTTTTTTTTTTCAAAGTACAGCTACAGGATGACTATTATTTAGTATTACTTAACAAGATGGGAGAAGATCATATGGTACAACATTAGGGAGTAACAGAGTTAAACTGTGTTCTACAGATAATGACAAGGTTGATTTCAAAAATGTCCACAGAGGTAGAAAGCAAAGCAACCAAAACACTAGCTTTTTTCATGGTGGTTTCCCTCAGTTTTCACATTTTCTACTGTAATATGATGATATTGATCTAGACTAACTATTGATCTCACCAGAGCAACAATTAAAGAAACTAAGAAGGTTCACACATTACATGCTAAAACAAGTCCTCTGGGAAGGGGAGAGAACTTTCTTGACATTTATCTATTCTGTCTTAGAATGAATACTCTCAATTTGTTTGCAAATGAACGCAACTACTGAGACGCGTTGTCTGCTCAGAATAGCAAAGAAACTTCTTACTGAAAATGCCAGTTTTTAAACTAAGATCCATCAACAGGTACCAGATTGAGTACAGTCTTCCATAGAAAAATAAGGTTTACCAGCCAGGCACAGTGGCTTACTAACCCTAGCACTTCGGGAGGCCCAGGTGAGCAGACTACTTGAGGCCAGGCGTTCACAACCAGCCTGGGTGACACAGGGAGATCTCGTCTCTTAAAAAATGAAATACAGTGAGCCCACGGGTTCGAGACCCGCCTGGGCAGCGAGACCTCATCTCTACAATAAGTCAAAAAATCAGCCGGGTGTGATAGCGCATGCCTGTAATTCCGGCTACTTGGAAGGCTGAGGCGGAAGGATCACCAGAGCCCAGCAGGTCGAGGCTGTGGTGGCTGGGAGCGGCCACTGCACTCCAGTCTGGGCGACAGAGTGAGACTCCAACTCAAAAAAAAAAAAGAAATATAATAACTTAGCCAGTATGGTGGTGCATGCCTGCAGTCCCATCTACTTGGGAGACTGAAACAGAAAGTCTGCCTGAGCCCAAGAAGTCGAGGCTATAAGCTGTAATCGTGCTACTGCATTCCAGCCTAGCTGACAGAATGAGACTGGGATTCACAAAAGGAAAGGTTTTGCCATTATACATGGTAAACTGCATAACAGTGATGAAAACAATACAATGCTGGAAGGCTATGAAAAACTATTTATTCATATATAACTAGGCATACTGATAAAAAGTTCTGCAAAGAGCCGCCTAAAACATCTAACTACTTTTGACCAAGTAATCCTATACACAAAAACTATATATGCAGAGATGCAGTCTATAAACAATAAAACATGCAAGATAATCCTTAACACCTGCAAGTCTTGAGTACAGAGTAGTACTGCAATAGAACAGAATGTTGAATTGCATCTCTTTTATATTTTATTATTATTATTATTATTTTGAGTTGGAGTCTTATGCTGTTGCTCAGGCTAGAGTGCTGTGGCACAATCACAGCTACTGTAGCCTCAACCTGCTGGGTGCAGTTGATTCTTCCACCTCAGCCTTTTTTTTCAAGTTGGAGTCTCACTCTGTCACCCAGGCTGGAGTGCAGTGGCATGCTCATGGTCACCGCAGCCTCGACCTGCTGGGCTCAGGTGTTCCTTCTGCCTCAGCCTTCCAAGTAGCTGGAACCACAAGCATATGCCACCATGCCCAACTGATTTTTTTTATTTATTATAGAGACAAGGTCTTGCCATGTTGTCCAGGCTGGTCTTGAACCCCTGAGCTCAGATAATCCTCTCGCCTCCGCCTCCCAAAGTGCTGGGATTTCAGGCATGAGCCACCACGCCTAGTTCTGCCTCAGCCTTCAAAGTAGCTGGAAACACAGGTACACGTCACCACACCTGGCTAATTTTTTAAATTTATTGTAGGGACATGGTCTCACTAAGCTGCCCAGGCCTGAATTGCATCTAAAAAGAACAAGTAGGTAGATTATGTAGAAAATGTGGAAAAACTCTCTAGTGCCAAGTAAAAACTAGAGAATAGAGTAGTCTGACCGTATGGCGATATGCACAAATCCCTATGCTCAACAGAAGTAGTGACACTGTCTCATACAACATCGATATGGTCACTTCAACACAAATCCCCACACCTGGTTCTGCACCTGCAGCCAGCTGACACAGCAAGGGCAGGCTCCCAGATGAGCCGGGCTCCCAGTCCTGCATGTGACACACGCCTCTGCCACCACTCAGAATAATAAGCAAAGATAAAATAAGAAAGCAAATCACATTTCAAAAGCTTATTCACTGTTTGCTCCTACTATAAAAGTAGCTCCCTAAAAAATTTTCCCTTGTTATTTTTTTCTTAGGAAAATATGCAGAGATGTATTTCACAGAAACAAATGTGGCAGATAACTAGACACTGATGACAACCTTTATGTTTTAAAGCTCCGTTTCTATCCTTTTCTTCTTAAAGAATATGGATTGCCATTTCACCCTTCCTGTGACTCCAAGCTGTCAACCCCAGTATCAACTCTCCTACACATGCCAGGTGGGTGACTGTCACTCGTGCCATTCTCCAGGAGGCCCCAGGCTCAGGAACCTGCTCTGAGAACCCTCTTGACAGAGACAAGGAGCACACAGGAGGCAGGCTCTGAGGGAGGCGCCTCCTCTGGGGTCAAGGCTTTGTGACAGCAACTGCACATGCCAGTCCTGGGCCGTCAGCGTGTTTTCTAAGGAGAGCAGTCAGGTATTCCCATTACACAAGAGAGGACCCCACAAACCCAGACTATATTTATAAGAAAACTGTGCATTTATTCTTACATGTTCAGACTTCAGTCACCTTTCAAGGACTCTCATGATGCAATACACCTATCGAGACGCTTTTTTCACTGCTCAAAACACTTTTAGAACTACCGATTTTGATGCCTTTCAGGGCTTCTGCCATTATTTTGTTTCACCTCTTCCACATTGGCAGAATGTTTCCCTTTGAGGACTTTTTTCATCCAGGGAAACAAAAAATCAGTTGCTCAGGTGAGATTGGATGAATAGGGAGGGTGGGGAATGGGGGTAGTGCTATTTTTAGGCAAAAACTGAATACTCAGTATGGTGTGGACAGGTGCGTTGTCATGGTGGAAGAACCAGTCATCGGTTTGCCACAACTTGGGATGTTTCTTCCACAGACTGTGACACAACCTTCTCAAAACTTTCAGATAAAAACTTTGGTTGACTGAGCCAGAGGAACAAATTCTGAATGTACTACAAAAGGCTCGCCCTCCAAAAGATAATTCTGACTTTTTTTTGGGTCCCCCTTCGTACTTCTCTTGAGTGTTATTTTAAATGAGATGTGAAGGAAAATCTATTACTTTGTCCAGAATTAAACAAAGAAGCCCAGAAAGCTTCATACTACATGTGAGAGGACTATGAAGGCAAAT